TTTGTCTCAAATACAAGCACAAAGAGGTTATTTCTGCAGGCACGTGGTGGGGTGCAAGCAGGCAGTGCCCAAAGCAGGACAACCCCTCAATGCAGACATCACAACTCATCACACCTCAGCCAGCCCAGCAGAGCACACGTGGCACCAGGGGGTGGCAGCCAGCCCTGCCCTGCGCTGAGCTGGCTGTGATGGGCGCCCAGTCCCCCCATCAGCCCTCACTGGTCATACTGGGAGCTGGAGCTGGTGGTGCTCCTGGAGAGCAGATTGCAGAGAGCTCTTTGGGTTATTTATTTTGCTCGGTTTTTCTTTCTTTCTTTCTTTTTTGAAGGTGGCTGGGGCTGTATGTAGGGCAGGGTTGGGTTTTTTTAGGTTCAGGCAGCATGTGGGCACCTTCAAGATCGATAGCATAAATCAGCAAGCTCATGCAGGGCATTGGGTTGTGTGAGATGTGTTCCATCCTCCCCTAATAGCTGTCTCAGCCCAGAAACTTCCAATGCTCTCGCTCTGGTAGCACCTAAGGGCTAATGAGCTGAAACTGCAGAATACCAATGAGACCTCAGCAATATGGATTATCCTCCCCACCCCCAGCCAGGCAGCTGAGCAGCCCTGAAATCATCCCAGCTGGCCCCTGGGGTGCCGAGTGCAGCCCATCGAGGAGGAATGGCCTCAAAGTGAAGTGCATGGGGGCTGGGAAGTTCTGTATTGCCCGTGGGAGCTGCTGTGGATGCATCACCTGGTACTGCTCTGTACGCAGAATGTGGGTGCTTTGTTTTGGGGTGAGCAAAGCTCTGGTTTAACCATGGACATTCAGGTGGTCTCCCTGATAATTGGCTATCATATAAATATGAGTTTACAAGTTTTGCACTATTTTCACCCCTGTCTTGGGTGAAGCACCTTCAATCCCCTTCTCTCCATCTGGTTTGCAAGCCCAGCCCACGCATGGACAATGGGCCCAAATCCTGTACGTTTCTGGAGCTGCTTTCTGCTGCCTGCCCTGGGACCTGCAGTGGGGTCAACAGCAAAACCCCATGTTGGGGTGCTGGGAAATCAGGATGATTCGCTGCACAGGACCCCAAAGAAAGGATAAGGAGAGGTCGGGTGGAAGCTCCCACCCCGCCCAGCAGGTGCTGCCCTCCTCTTGGCTCCACATTCCTGCTGCTTTTGCAGAGGTGGGGGAAACGTGGGAGCTGGAGGAGGAGAGCAGTGCAAAGCCTGAAAATATCGAGGATTGAAGCAAGCAGATCAGGGAGGTGCTGGGGTCCCCACGGTGGTCACCTCCCACTCAGGACCCTCCAGCTTTGCTCAGTGCTGCCCAGCCCCACGCAGTGCCCCTGGCTCGTTGCACACTGCCTTAACCTTTCTGCACACACCACGCGGTGCTGGCACAGACTGCTGCCTTCCAGGCACGTGGGCAGAGGGCTGCCGAGGAGCCCAGGTGGCTTTTGTGCTTGATTTGCATCTCGGAGCTGCTCTGGAGTGGAGGAGGTGGGAACCTTGATGAAACCGAAGCAGTTACCTCGATAGCAGCTTTGCTTTGCTCAGTGTAACTCCTGGCTCAGGGATGATGAGATCACTTTAGAGTGACGTGTTCCTTTCTTCTTATGCAAAATGAGGTTTTGTATGTGATTGCTTGAGATGAAATTTTGGGTTTGAGCTGTGCAATGCTCAGAGGAGCGATGCAATGGGTTCGGAATTCCCTGTGTTGCACTGACCCTCACCAAAGCCCCCTCACAGCATCTCTGCTTGCAACAGGTCTTGCATGGCTTCGGAGCTGAGGAATGAGCTGGAGCTGTGCGATGGCAAATGTGCCAGGGAAAAGGAAAATTGCTTTAAAACAGCAGCGCTGGAATCTTCTCCCTGGCTTTATTTCACAGAATCATAGAATTTGGGACCTGAAGCCCACCAGTTTTCTGCGTGCACACCAGAGGTCTGAGGAGCCTGGAGCAAGCAGGGGGGTGACAGCCTGCTGGGGGCTCCCGTGGGACTGACGTGGCACTTTTCTCCCCTCAACTTCATTTAACAGTGACAGAGAACCCCCCAACCCTGGACACATGGCTGCATCTCACATCCAAGGATGCATCCCCAGTTCTGTGTGTCAGGATGGGGTCCAAACCTCCCTGCTCTGGCTGTGGCCTCTGATGAAGGCAGGCTCTTGGAAACACATTTTGTGGAGTCTTTGTTCTGCAGGAGTTTTGTCCAGCTGTGTTCCTGACACAGGTGCCCACACTTTGTGGCAGGGGTTGAGTTCAGCTGTGCTCCTCTCACACCTTCCTATCAAAGAAGCAGAGCAAAAGCTCAGGTTAGTGGCACGTGTTGCTGGCTGTGTGCTCAGAGCAAAGCTTCTGCTGAGGAACAGTGTTCTGCAAACCGTGCTGCAAACCCTGCTGTGAGCAGAAACACGCATTTCCAAACAAAACACAGCAAAGATAACTCACTAGGCAGCACTTCTTCCTTGCAGCATTTACAGCCCCACTTCCAACCAACCCCGTGTGGCTTTGATATGGCATTTCACACCCAGCATTATTGATCATTTCTGCTTTTCTGGGGGCTCTTACTGAACCAGCATTAACCCCTACTGCAATGAGTGCCACCATCCTGGGCACAGCACTCACCCTGGCCCCACTGCTGCTCTGGGCAATGCAGCATGGAAGCAAAGCTTTCTCCAAGCCCCAGCACCCATTGCATCGTGCACCATAGGAACCCTCACCACCCCCTTTGCTATATATCAGAGCCAAATCAATAGGAATTTGGCTTTTGATGTATTTTTAACCAGGTGGGAGCTCACACTCTGCCATTGGGTCTCACTGGGAGTCTGCAGCAGCTCAATCTGAGGGGTGCGCAGGGACTGCCCCATCCCCTCAGCACTGAGTGTCCCAATGGGGTCAGAGCTCACCCTCCCCAGCCACAGCAGGATGCATCCCCTCCCATCACCCTGCCTCGCCCTGAACTTCTTTAATTAAAGCTTTCAGAATTATTTTCCCCTTTATTCCCCCAAATCTTTTCCTTAATTAAAATCCCAATCTGGGCCAGTGAGAAGCAGCTGTTGCCTCTTTGCTGCGTGCTTGTGTCCATGTGTTGCTGCTAACCCGAATGCTGGTGGTATGGGAACAGCATAGGGAGAAACACTGCTGTCACCTGTCGTCTTGGCACCCAGGTAGGTCCCCGAAAAGAGGGACGTGGGACCCCATGGACACCCTGCTGAAGCAGTGCTGGCTGAGGACTGCCCTCGCTATTACCTTTATCAGATGATGTGTCTTTTTTAATGAAACTCCTAGAGGGAAAAAAAAATAAAAAATAGTGCTGACAACTGATGTGTTATTTCACCTCTGATTTACC